ACCGCCCCCTGCGGCCTGGCCGGGCCGCGGGGCCGCTCCGGCTGCCGGCCCGGCAGCGTGGATTCCTCCCACGTACGTGTGGTGGCGAAGGTGGGAGAGGTCTCCGCTTTGCCCCAAAATTCAGGGTGCAGTGTTGGGAACGGTACTTTACAAGCCGGATTTTCAGGGGGACTCAACAGCCCCGCTGCCATCGGGATTGCAGATGTTCGCAAACATAACGCGACCACAGCCTTGCACCTGTTGAACATCTGCTAAGTGCGCAGGACAGGGTTAGGGCCTGTTTCACCTCTGTCTGCAGTAACTGAGCGTGGAAGGACAGCAGGTTGGAAGAGCGCTGGCTCTCCCCGGGGAGTGAACAGTGACACGGTGTGTGTGGATGAAGTGCTGCCGAGACACCCACAGCAGTTGTTCCACGCGGCATAACTGTGTGCCAAAACTATTCCTTGTGAGTGGCTAGGGTTATTTCTATAGTGTATGCCTGGTGACACTCATAACCTCACTACAATAATGGAGGAGCTCCTCTAGGCAGACAAATCAGGGACAAGGCCACAGTCATTACCAGTGTGCAGAAAATCATGCTGCTAAAGGCCAGTGTTGACAAACAAGGCAGAGGAGTCCTGCAAAAATCAACTTTACCCAAAACTAGAGAGATCCCAGTGGATCATACCCATCTAGGGTCTTTCCAGTTTTTAGCAGACACAGCCTCCCTTTATTCTAAACACCCTCCTAATTTTCCCATTGGGTGAGGTAGTAGGAAGGTACAACCTTTCAGATCCACATACTACATATCTACGCTCCAACATGTACCCCCACACCCGATCTTCCAGAACATGATTGGTTCTTTCAGGTTATCCAGTAGTTTGTAAAGATGTGCACATCCATTTCTCCTGTCACCAGTGTCATAGAGTTTATGGTCAGTAATTATGATTTGGGCTGGTGGTCATTGAATTGTTAAAGTTAGAAAAGACTTCTGAAATCATTAAGTCCAATTGTTATCCCAACACCACTGTGTTTGCCACTAGACCATGTCCCTAGGTGCCACATTCATAGGTTTTCTTAACCCTTCCAGGGCCAGTGATTCCACCCTTTCCTAAGCAGGCTGTTCCAATGCCTGATCACCCTTTCAGTGAAGTAATTGTTCCTCGTATACAAACTAAACCTCCTTTGATGGAACTTGAGGCCATTTGCTCTTGTCCTGTTGTTTGTTACTTTGGAGAAAAGAGATGGACCCTCACCTGGCTACAGTCCTTTCAGGCAGTTGTAGAGAGTAGTAAGATCACACCTGAGCCTCCTTTTCTCCAAGCTAAACAATTCCAACTTCCTCAACTGTTCCTCCCAGGACTTGTGCTCTCCACACCCATCGCCAGCTCTGTTGCCCTTCTCTGGGCAAGAACATCCTTGCTGGATGCAACACTATCAGAATCAATCAATCAATCAATCCCTCAAATAAAGAACTAAAAAGATGTCTGAGAAAGGAAGCAGAGTTACAAATACAATGAAAGTTAGTGATTACATTTTCCAAAAAGTGTGTGATAGAAATACAATCATTTCTGCAGAGCAATTGTATTGCACCAGTTACTCAGTACATTGTGTCTTAATCCTCTGCTGTGAGGAACAAATAAGTTACTTTTTAAAACTGTTCTTTTGTTAATGATTAACTAGTGTTACAAATTGACCTCTCCTAAACACAGCATATGTCAAGTGAATAAAATAATTGCTTTCTTTTTATCCTGGGCTGAGTAATTTTGGATCAATACATCTTGAAAGGAATAGATCACTTTGACACGGTGTGTATGACACAGCCAGTAGCTAGCAAGTGGCTGGCACATTTTTCCCATGCAAAAGGTGTACCATTGGTGTTGTTAGAGTGACGTGGAGGAGTAGTGGCCTCAGCTAGAGAAAATTAGCCTCTCAGCCCAGAAAACAGTGAGCTTTGACGGGCTTGTTTGTCATTTAGGGTTAATACAACTATGAAATAAGGAGAGAAGGGTTACTGGTGGTGAATTTCTGGGTTTTTTTTCTTTGAGCTCCAAGAAATAACTCACCTAAACCAGTCCTTGAGTATTTTTCAAAGGAAGCATTGGTCTTCAGCTCTGCTTTTGTATGATTGTATAATTTAGTTAAAGGCAGATCATACATCTAGAAAGTAGAGGAATAGAGTATGATTTGTGACTCTTATGATCTATTAACTATGTTCTAGAATAGCTAAGAAGTAGCTAAAAGTTCTTAATCAAAAACAGGAATTAAGATGAGGTGTAGTAAACTACCTCAGGTAGTGCTGAAACAAAATTCTCCCTAAATTCTTCTTTATTCTAGAAGTCTTATCTTCCAGGAACATCAGCCCCAGCAAGAGATGGGACATCTACACTGCTTGGTTTGCAAGAATGAGTTTTATCCAGATTGATTTTGTTTGGTTGGTTCTTTGGCTTGTTTGGTTTTTTTGTGGGGCGAGTATGGATACCTACATAAGATTAAATAAGAGATAATTTTTTAGCTCTGAAGGAGATATGTTAGCTCTCTAGAGACAAGGATTCAAAACTATCCATGATTATATAAACTACCTCTATATGGTGTTCCCTTAAAATATTTCCTGTTCTGTATCCTTCTTTCAGGCACCATTTTCTTTAAGCTTTTAGTTTGGAATATGGGATCTGGTATAACACCTAGTTCTGTTACTTTTTGAATCTATTCTTTTCAATTAAATCTTGTCATAAGCAATGGGGACTTTGCTGTAGGAGTGTGTATGTATTCTCACACACCAATATGTACATTAGCCAGAATGTACATTTTCAGAATGTATTTCTTTAAGATGTCTTCAATATCAAATAAGTTATGTTATGAAGTCCTCCAAAACAGGTGTTTCCTATTCCACTTTGCAACTTTTATTTGTTTTAATAATATTTAATACTGAAAAAGTGCAAATTTTCCTGTATGTGTGGGATTTCTTTACACCACCCAAATAACAGTTTAAAGAAACTCAGTTCTAAGGAATTATAGATGGGGATGTTTTTAGTACTAATTTCTTTCTTATTTCCCATCAGAAAACTTTGAGCTTTTAGTTGTAGTTGGAGTATGCCCAGATATAATGCTTGCAGTCTAAAGCACTGATTCTGCATGTGATGTTGAACAGGGAGAGCCAGCAGCAAAGTCAGCAATACTTAAATGGGTACACTAGTCTGTCTGCTAGTCCTAAGCTAATTTTGTCACAACTTATTACAAGAACTGGTATAAAATATGACTGGATGCACTGGGAAAACCAAAGAGGAATGAACTGGAGACATGTTGTTAATCTTTAATTCTTTTTACCAATGATTTACCTTATGTCACTGCAGGCAAAAAAATCTCTCTAGGATGGTAGAAGATTGTGATTGTCTAATTTCTAGCAGATTTTCTGTTTCCTTTTGTTTTCATTTTAGACATTTTCTCAGGACTGTTTGGTATAAATCATGAGTTTCTACTCTGAAGTTCATATTTATACTTGGGAGATCTTCAGAGAATGTTTTTTACTCCAGTTTTTTAGCTGTGAAGAATTTAGGCCATGTTGATGGCAGACCTGAGCAATCTTTTTTTTTCTTTTTTTTTGGGTGATGTTGGTGTACAAGACTTTATTTAGAAGAACAGAGATAATTCCTTTCCATCAAGCTTCCTGAAATAACTAGGGAAAATAAAAATTATCACTAATTATCACTCATGACATGGAATAACCCTTCATTACCTCACGCACCCTTCTTATTCCTTGGGCAGCCTGCCAAATCTGAAGTAATTTTAGCATTAAATTTTTGCTACTGACTTAATCTGGGGAAAAAAAAAAAAAAAAAGAGAAAAGCAAACATCACAACCCCTCCAAAAAAAAAAAAAAACCACAAAAGCCATTTGGAATAATATACAAGGATCCTGAAGTCAGACAAGTATAGGAGACATGTCACTGTGAATTCCAGTAATTCCACTGAATTCAGGTCTGAATTTTGCCTCATACATGTCAACACTAGTAATAATCTGGAAAACATCTTCCTATTTTGGAAGGAAGGAGAGCTGTTCCTTGAGTTTCCATAATGTAATGATGGAGAAAAAAACCTGAAAATATGAATCTGTCTGAGGCACTGTGACCTCTAGGATTCCTGTGTGTGAGGTATATGTGGCCGTTTGACCAATGTATTTAACATTCCCCTTGGCACTCTTTGAAATTGTCTATTACAAAACAGATGGTGCAGTAGTTACTTTTTGAAGGGCTAGAAGAGCATTACTACATCTGGAATTAATCTTTAGCTCCCTAAACCAATAGATCACCCAGTTTTAAGAAGGCCTTCTAATATAATTGCATTGCACAAGTACAGAGAAAGAATACACAGCTTTAAGGCAGAGTATAAGCAGTCCGGAACTATAATTCATAGGCACACAAGTCTTTCTGTTCAACTGTCTCATTTATGGGCAAGTCTTTTCTACAAGAATTTATTTTTATTGAGCAACATTAGTAAGTGAAATGTGTAACTTCTTCAATGAGATTTAAATAATCCACAAATTTTCGGGGTTTGTATAAAGTATTTTTCTTTTCTGTTGGTAACTACAGTATTCTTTGAGGGATGACTTCTTTCATTTTTATACTGTCCTTTGCCCAAAAAGGTAGATCAAGGTTGTATTAAACTAAAATGCACACCATTAACATTCAAATGAAGCCAGTTATGGAGTTTTTGATGATTATTAAGTCGTACAACACATGCTCTGAAGAATGATGGGAAAGGGCATTAGGGCACTCAGGGTTGATGCTAGAGTAAGAAGTATTTCTGAAAACTTCAATGCCAAAGGAAAGTGCAAGTTTTAACCCATAGAACATCATATTTGAAAGTGTCTTGTACTGAACTGCTTGGATAATATTTGATCTGGATTATTTAAATATTTAAAATATTAATTGTGTTACTTGGCTTGGGGAAAAAACCTGTGCTTCCAAAAATGCACTACTTTCTGCAAAGGTCTTGAATTTCTGTAAAGAAGTGGTTATAAAGCAAGGAATTTGGAATACTATCAAATTAGATATCTGAAATAATGTTTAGAAAGATAAAATAGCTATTGTTTGTAGTATTTCAGTGGGTTTGTATGCTTTTCTGTCTTTCTTTTGTAAAGCACCTAGAACAGGGAGACATGGAAGGCTGGCAGATAAATAATGCATTGTTGGTTTACATTCCCAGATTACATTGTTGGCACTCTAATTATAATAATGTATAAGAATTTGAAAAACTGCACGAAGTAAGAAGCATTTTACAATATCAGTTTTTCTGTAGCCAGTGGAATTCCCCAGGAACTACTCAGTTCTGTGGATGACAGATAAAAATGAAGACAAGTTCTACCAGTTCATAACTTGTAATGTCAAATTACATGTTGCAGCTACTTTGCCTTTCCATTCTTTATAATCATTGTACCTGCTTTACTCACCTTGAAAGGGAAGTTTTG